CCAGCTGATACTGTAGTAAATCCACCTAATCATAATACAATTAATAAAGCAGAAGGTGAATATTCAAGTAAATTACTTGAACGAATTAAAACATAACAACCAGCTGTAACCATAGTAGCAGCATGAAGTAAAGCACTAACAGGAGTAGGACCTTCTATAGCATTTAATAATCAACCATGTAATCCAAATTGAGCTGATTTAGCAGCACTAGCAATAAGTAATAAAATACAAATTCAATAATTACTAATAATACTAGTATAACCACAAGTAGCATTAATAATAGTATAATCTAAAGTACCATAAGTATGATAAATAAGACATAAACCTAATACAAAAAATGAATCACCTACACGATTAAGTAATAAAGCTGATAAAGCACTTTTTATAGCTTGAATACGTGATGTTCAATAACCAATTAATAAATAAGAAATAACACCAACACCTTCTCAACCAATAAATAAAATACCATAATTATCACCACCTAATAATACTACCATAAGTAATGTAAATAATGATAAATAAGCAAAGAAACGTGGTTGTGTAGGATCACCAGCTATATATGAACATGCATATAATTGTACTAATGTAGAGATACATAATACAGGAATAAGCATAGTACAACTTAATTTATCAAATGTTATAGATCAATCTAAATCAATAGTACTAATTCATGAACCTAAATTAATAGATATATCATGTCCACTAAATACTAAATAAAATTGATGAAAAGTTAATAAACAACCTGATACAATTAAAAATACTGATAATCATTTAGCATTAAGACCTGTTAAATAACCATATAAACCTGTTAAAACAGGTCCAAGTAAGAGAGCAATAATTAATGAAAGCATTATAATTCTAAATTAACACCACCTCTTAAATTATAATGTGATACTAGCAATGCTAGACCAATAGCTGATTCAGCACCAGCTAATAATAATACAAATAAAGCTGTTATGATACCCATAGCATCATCTAAATCTAAACTTGTATCGATGAAACCTAATGTAACACCAGCTAACATAACTTCTAAACTGAATAATAATGACATTGCATTACGTCCACTTGCTATGTAGCCTAATAATCCTGATAATAATAACATATAAAATTATATAGATATAATATAAACAATCCGCTACTTATATATTATATAATGATATATAAAATTAATATATTATTAATAAATATTAGTTTATAATCATCCTACCGGCTCATTATATGAGCCGGTTATATCTTATCAATTATTACAATTATTTATATAATAAACCCTAATATTATATATAGTAATATATTAATTTTATATATGTATAGTATCTAATATCCTCCCGGATCATATAATGATCCGGGTAAATGTTAATCAGTAAATATTAATTATATTAATATATTAATTGTTTAAGAGTATATTAATATATGATTATAAATATATTTATATTAATGTAAATTAATTAATATATAATATTATAGGATAATATATATATAAATACATAGGATAAATTAATAACGTATTAATATACATAATTACACCGGCTCATTATATGAGCCGGTATACGCTTATTAATGAATATCATGTATTAACTTATTATAATATACTAGTTAATTATTTAATATAAATAAGATATTAATATATAGTTTTAATATTAGTTCATAATATTTACCCGGATCATTATATGATCCGGGTAGATTAGGTATTATATTATTATGTTTATAACATATTAACTTTATATGGTATATATTATTAATGGTAATAATATATTAACAATATTATAATAATTATATATATCATAAGATATATACATATCCTTCCCGGCTCATAATTATATGAGCCGGTATTATAATATATCCTTACTAATAATTATATAATATTATATAGTACTATATATTAAATATTATTATATAATGATATTATATTTTTATGATTATATTAACCGGAGTATACATTATCAATATATTTAAATATTATTATATTTGATAAATATATTATACATAATCCCCACCGGCCCTTATAAATAAGGGCCGGTATATTATAATTTAAACATATCATAATTATAATTAATATGTTTAATAATACTTAATATATAAATCTATAATAATATGTACATTATTTAGTTAATATAATGAACTGATATAACTATAATATTATATAATATAAACTTATATAAATATATTGTTTATATGATAATGATATAGTATATTATAAATATATAATTATTAATTTACCCGACTCATTATATTAGCCGGTTGGCTCTATATTATTATATATAATTATTATTTAATATATAACTATTAATCATTTAATATATTAATTTAATTAATATATGGATTATATATATGATCTTATAATAATAATATAAATATATAATATTAATTATATACCCCTCCCGGCTCATTATAATGAGCCGGGTTAACTGTGTGGATTATAATATATATTCTTATTTAAGATTTAAATACCCTATTATATATTATAATATTAATAAAATATATTGATAATATATAATAAATGATAATGATTATATACTTACCGGCCTTATAAATAAGGCCGGTATTATGATAGAATATAATAATAATATTATATAAACTTATAATATATTACTAATTTATAAATATAAATTAATAAGATAATAAATATTATAATATATAATAATGATATAAAATATAATATATTAATTATAAGAAGAGGAACATAGCTTAATGGTAAAGCATACGCCTTCAAAGCGTTAGACTGGGGGTTCGAGCCCCTCTGTTCCTGAATTTAATATAACATATATATATGTTAATATAAGTAATATATAGAAATATATAATATTTTATGAGTATGATGTCGGCTCAGATTAAACGCTATATTGGGGCATTACACATGCAAATGATAAATTATATATAAATAATTTATTGTGTACGAGTGAGTATAATACAGTATTTGAACTATTATAATAATAATAGTCATATTGTTTATTGATTAGGTAGTAAGGAGCTTTAAATAGACCACTTAGCCTATGATCAATAGTCAATGGTTACCGCCATAATGACCACGTCAGAATTGAAATATTCTGATTGCTCAATTTAGAGTGACTGCAGTGGGGAATCTTGGGCAATGGTTGATAAGACTG